CTATGGTATCTCTGGGCTGCTTTCTTGCCAGTCCCTAAAATACTTAACTTCATAATCATGAAGCCAAAGTTTTTGCCATATGGCAGGAAGCACCATCCTGCATGAAAATATCTGCCAGGATCATCTCAAATGGGCTGGGTAGATAATTGCAGAGAAGTAATTAGTTTGGTTCATGTCATGCCAGGGAGAAACACAAGATCTCCAACACCATGATAAGTGAAGCAATCCCATACCGTGAGGGAAGCTTGGTGTTTTACCGTCTTTTTGGTAGTCTATGGGAGGTGAGGGTGCCAGGAGATCCTCCTTCCAATGCTGCCAGAAGTTCACAGTTATGTTTTGTATTGCACATTTATAAGGGTGATGAGCAGGTCTTGAAAAGGGTACTTAATTAGTACCATCTATACCATCTATAAGTTCTTTCACATTGTTGTCTGTTGGTTGAGGTAAAATGTTCTGAAAATTTGTGCCCATTGCTACTTTTACAACATTTCTTGATTGGCTTCCTTTAGAATATCTTCATCTCACCCATTACAAACTCATTACAGGTGATGGCTCAGACACAGCACAGACTAGAGACTCCGCAGGACTACATCGAGTACCTGAAGCGTGACGACCTCAGCGTCAAGTCCATCTTCAAGAATCTGGAGAGCCTACAGGTGGCACTGCGGAGCAACAAGATCCAGTGGGTGCAAGAGTTTGCGCAGAAGGGTCTCAAGTGCCTATTATCCATCCTGAATGAGTGCTACAGGAGGTAAGAGATGTATTTTTGCATTTAGCTTCATTGTCACTTGTTTGGATAATTATTGTTATTATTTTGTCTAGACTTTTTTTTTTTTTTTCCGTAGAGTTCCCACATTTTTTTTTTTTTTTTTTTTTTTTTTTTTTTTTTTTTTTTTTTTTTTTTTTTTTTTTTTTCTGCATGTAGTTGAAGCCTAGTGGCCGAAGTGAAGCCTGAGCGAGATTTTTAGACATTAATAAAAAAAAATAGCGAATTGATAAAAGTATAAAGGTATCCATTGTTGATAAGGTAGTTATTGGTTGTCCCATGGAAATTCAGGAGGAGGTAATCATTATTTTCAGTGATTAGTTACAATAAACCCAAGGAAATTGATAGACATTGCTCTCTCTTATGGCTTTTAGAGGATTTAATGTAGTTTGTATCCCTGTTGGACATCCATAGAATTCCTGAACCCTTTGAACAGTTGTGCATGAGGTATGACTTGAAACTAGTGTTGTCTTCTAGCTTACATTTCCTGATTATAGTAGAATTAAAGTGAGTGAATAAATTTTCTGTTGTCATTATATATTTTTTATGAAGCAGTCTTTGTTTTTCCTCCTTATTTGTTTGAGAGGTAATCCAATTTCATTGTTAATTCACTTTTTGTACAAAACCTTAATAGATTAATTACTAACAATTTTATTTTGGAATCTTTGCTGTCAAATCAATATATGCTGCTTAAGTAATGGAATTTTAATTTGCCCGTGAAGATATGCTGTTGCTGTAGTGAATATATTTTACACAGAACGTATTTGAAATATTTTGTAAGATTAAAAGAGTTTAAAACTACTTTCATCTCAATAGTATTTCACTTATCTCTTGAAAAGGAATACACACACTTGCAGACACCATAAGGCACTCACTATGGGAATAGAACTTGGAAATCACATGTCTCAGACCTTCAAATGACCCAAAAAGACAATATGATAGTTTTTCTCTAAATACATTGCCCATGTATTGATACCATTTTAACAAGCAGTTGCTATATATGGATGAAGGTGCACCAAGTATTATTTGACAGTTTCACTTTTTTTTATTAAATTCTCTGATTTCTTGAGGATAATGCTGCACCACAATTTTGTGTACATAGATCAGTCTGTGAAGCACAAATGAAAATTTTTGAGTTGCTTCTCTCTTCCCTCGTTGTGAAGGATAGTATGACATTCATGCCAGGTCCATTGTGATTTTAGTTGTATATTTCATTTACACAGAGAAGGCTCTAGAAGAGCATAGTCACTGAGTCAATTACCAGTCCTACCTATTTTACCTGTTTACCCTTTTCCTTGATTTTTGGAAAGATGATGATTTTTCTATTATTATTATTATTTTTTTTTTAGTAACTATTATAGTCAGATGTCTTAGATAATTTTGATACTATCCACATTAATAGCATCAGAAAAAACACAAAAAATCAAGAAATAGGGAAATGTGGTGAGGTCATGTAGACTTTGCTAATTGTCTTATTGGTGGCTAAGCAATCTTTGTGCAACAGAATTCACAAAAACTACAGTGGACAGTACAAGTACCCATTACCAATGAGACAATATGTGAAAATGTTCTACAGTATTTGTAGTAGGGTCAGGGTGTGCAAATGTTGTACTTTTATTTCATAGTTTCATTTCACACACACACACCTTGTCTGCAAGTCAGTGGTAGTTTACATCCATCTTTATAGTTGATTTATGGGAGTAATAATATGATATGATAGAGTAGCGGTGAGTCTTCTAAAGAATTTTATGATATAAGTATTTACAGCAGCAGTTATTATGAGACTTGATGCTGTTTGTCTCTTGAAGGTCACATTACATTGCAACAAGAACATCATATTCAGGGTTGTTCACATTTTAAGGGTTAGAATACTATATTTTTTTTTTTTTTTTTGCTATCCTTATGTAGAGTATGGTTGACTTTATGATGGGATACATGGGGCTATCATTTCTAAATGCATTGGACCTTGCAGCAATTCTTATCTTAGACTTTGGTCAACATTTTCTCCCCTTTTATCCTTTTAGATTATGTTGTGTTAAAGCATCTATGGAAGATATAAATCTGGGTCTTGTTGACACACACAAAGATTCTAGTAGCAACATTCTCTGGATTTTCTCTCTATTTGGCTTTTATTCTCATCGTCCTTAACCCACTTTTTAGTCTGATATCTCTTTTAATCTTTCTTTACACCCTTTCCAATAACATAACATGTAAATAGTTATGGATACACTTGTGAACATAAGACTCAACACTTGAAGTTTGCCCCTACTTTAAGTTTGTATGACATATTTTAATGGAAAGTGAATGTACTATTGGCGATTTCCCAAACTTTGTTTTGTTTAATAGATTTTTTGAATAAAAGAAGCAAAACAATTATGATAGTATGCGTATTACCTTTTTTTCTAGTAATTTCGGTTTGCCAATTCTGGTCACAAAGAGGGGGCACAGTTTATATTTCATAATAGCAGCAAACGCCCCATTCATTTGTGTCCGAAAAATTTATCAAGGCCACACATAGTAAAGAGCGTTCACAAGTTATATTCATTCGTCTGTTAAAAGAAAAGAAAATCTCATAGTATGTACCTCCGTCATCTTTCCAATTAATCTGTTTATTATTCTTTAAGCATGTCTCTTCTGCCTGATGTATTTTCCATCACTAACTTTAGATTTTTTTTCTCTGTTACCTCTGCTGACAACTTTACTGTAGTGCGCAAGAAGGGTGAGTAAAATAAAGGTCACAATTTGTAGTGCATAACTTTTTTTTTATTATATATATTTTATTTCTACCAGGCTCATTGAGGAATATCAGGACACACTAGCATGTCAGGAGAAAATTAGAGCAAAATTAGTAACTTTAGTGTTTAGAACCAGTTTCGCTGAGAGCACACTTAGCTTCCAGTTTTGTTTTCATTAGTGTATGTTCCTTTCCTTCTGTCAGTAGTTTTTAATCTACATTTTCTTGAATTGGTACTGCCATTTCTTCTAGGCCATATCTCATTGAGCTTGGTACGAGAATGTAGCTTACCGTAGAATAGTTCCCGCTTTTATTGTGATAAGGATCCTGGAGTTTGTGACAGGTAGGAGACAAAGCTATACCCTAGAGGTGTTTGGCGAATGTCAGGCAGCTGTCTGGAAGTTTTAACAAGGTGATTGTAACCCTGCCAAAGTTGTTGATGGTGGAATTTATGTGGTGAGAAACTGTTTGCCGGAGGGAGCTGATTTTCATATATGTATAATTGGCTTTACTTTGTATGTTTCTAGTCTTTGTGGTATTAACAGCTTTCAGGTTTCAGGATGTTATTTTCATGGGGCATAAACAGTCCTAAATCAGTCTGTCTCTCCTCTCAGTCTTTTCTCTCCCTCCCTCCCTCTTGCCCTCCCTCCCTCCCCTCTCTCTCTCTCTCTCTCCCCCTCTTTCTCTCTCTCTCCTCTCTCTCCCCTCTCTCTCTCTCTCCCTCTCTCTCTCTCTCTCTCTCTCTCTCTCTGTCTCTCTCTCTCTCTCTCTCTCTCTCTCTCCCTCCCTCCCTCCCTCCTCCCTCTCCCCCTCCTCTCTTTCTCTTTTCTCTCCTTCTCTCTTTCTCACTTTCTCTTTCCTTCCCCTCTTGAATAATTTTTTGGCTCTTTCAGTGTATCATGTATGTCGCTTGATTGAAATAAAGGCTGAATGTCTTGCTCATTCAAGAACTTTGGCAGTTCAGACTTAAAAGTTGGTCAAATTGCATGATGTGCCAAAGTTTGCAGGATTGCAAGATTTCAAGGTGCATTGTAGCATTGTGATAGGTAAAGAGAGACAGGTGTTTATTTTCTGAAAAGATTTAAAGGGAGAGTTACATTTTTGGTGACTGAATTGGTGGGAGATAATAAATGGCAAAAGTCTTGCAGTTTGACCATTCTGGTTACTTTTTTTGTACCTTATTATTCAAGATGATTGATTAAGTACTAAAAGATTGTTTTTTTTTTTTTATATAGATTTGATATCTTCTAGTGTGCAAATTCAAAGAATTTGTCTTATTAGTGTATTTTATTGCTTATGTTTTTTCAATCTTTGTTAGTCAAATATAGTTTTTACTGTTTTTATAATGCCTATTACTTTTACTTTTACTTCTAAGTAAGCCATCCCTGACAGTGCTCTTTTGATTGCAGTGGCAATAATAACCGTCAGTGGGACAATGTGCAGTATGAAGCCATCAAGTGCCTCAAGGTTATCTGCAACAACATTGTGGGCATTAAGGAGTTCTTCAGACAACCAGAAGGCTTCACCCTCCTGGCACAGTCCCTCAACCCCTCAAAGCCCAATATCATGCTGGAGGTCTTGAGACTCCTCTGCAGTTTCTGCCTCCCCATCTGGCAGCAAGATGGGCTGGATGGGCACAGAGAAGTCTTGGATGCCATCACTATTGTGGGAGAGCTCAAGAAGCAGGAGAGGTTTACACCCATCATCATGGGGCTGGGCATGCAAGGCAATGACCCCTTAAGGCTCAGCTGCCTTTCGCTCATCAATGCCATCATCAACTTTGTGCCCGATGATAACCTTGACTTCCGGATGCACTTGAGGAATGAGTTCATGAGGATGGGCCTGCAGGACCTCTTAGAGATTCTAATGAGCAGCGAGCATAGTGACATGAAGACGCAGCTGGAGGTGTTTAACAACTCGAGGAAGGAGGACTTTGAGGACTGGCAAGACCGCTTCTTCACACATGTGGATGAGATGGAGGATTTAGGACGCTGCTTTGAGATTGTCAGGCAGCAAGTACAAGACTCCAACTGCGAGATGCCTCTTCTGTCCATCTTGCAGCACCTTGCCTTTATCAGGGATGATGAGAATGTCAGACCAGCCTACTTTAAATTAATAGAGGAGTGCATTTCACAGATTGTCCTACACAGAAATGGGTGTGACCCAGATTTCCGAGCCACAAAAAGGTTTGAGATAAAGCTAGATAACCTTCTAGACCAATTCAAAGAAGAGACACGTAACAAAAATGAAAAGCTAGCATCAGAGTACCAGATACAGTTAGAAGAAGCTCTTACCAAAAATCAGAAGCTAGAGGCTGAACTGTCACTGGTCAAGAGTCGCTATGAAGAGGCCCTGAAACACGGTGGAGATCCAGGTAAAAAGGGTGGATTACCAACTGTACCTGGTTTAGAGCAGATGGTAGGTGGTGGACCTCCTCCACCTCCCATGCCTGGAGGTGGTCCTCCACCACCTCCACCTCCACCTGGAATGGGAGGACCACCTCCTCCACCACCACCTCCAGGTATGGGTGGTCCTCCACCACCTCCACCTCTACCAGGGATGGGAGGACCACCTCCTCCGCCACCGCTTCCAGGTATGGGTGGTCCTCCCCCTCCTCCTCCGCCTCCAGGTGGTCCCCCAGGTCCCCCTCCTCCTCCAGGAATGGGTCCACCTCCACCTCCAGGCATGCCTGCAATGAGACCGCCAGTAGAGTCCCTGCCATACGGCATGACACTAAGGAAAACAATAAAGCCACCTGCCCAAACAAAACGGCTCCAGTGGAACAAAGTGACACCAAACAAGATGAGCGAAAACAGTTTATGGGTTCGTCTCAACAAGAAGGACATCAAGGTCAAGCAGGACGTGTTGAAGGACCTCAGCGAAAGGTTTGCTGTGAAGCAGGTGAAAAAGAAGAATGTGGAGCAAGTGGAAAAGGCCACGAAGAAGGACAAGGAGCTGCGTGTGCTGGACCAGAAGACCAACCAGAACCTGTCCATTGCCCTCCGAGGTCAGTTCAAGCATATGAGTCTGGACGATATTCGGCTGGCCATCCTACAATGCGACGAGTCCATCCTCTGTGTGGACTCCACTGGTGCACCAGACTCATCTACACTGCAGACACTGATCGTGGCCATGCCAGATCACGAGATCATCAAGAAGCTCACATCACTGGAGGACCCAGAAGAAGACCTTGCAGAGGGTGAACGCTTCGTACACAGAATAGGCAAAATCAAGAAGCTGATTCCACTCCTCAAAAACATGGCCTTCAAGACAGATTATCCATCCTTAGTCAAGGAAACCCGGCTGGACATCGTGAACACCAAAGCTGCCCTGGATGAGCTCATCAACTCCAAGAAGTTTGAGAGGGTGTTGTCTTATATCCTGGAGTTCGGTAATGTTCTGAATGCGGGCTCCAGAAATGCTGACACCCTAGGGTTCGACATCAGTTTCCTGCCCAAGTTGTCAAACACAAAGAATGCAGATGGCCACACTTTACTGCATTACTTGGCAGAGACATTGATGAAGGAGGAACCTGAAAGTGCAGACTTTGAAGATGGCCTCTTGCATTTCTCTGATGCAGAAAGAGTCAACGTGGAGGCAGTTAAGGCCAATATCGCAAAGATGAAGAAGGAGATCAAGAACATTGGCAACGATCTGCAGAGGCACACGAAACAAGACCCAGAAGACAAGTATGTGATATTTTGCAAAGTATACACTGAATACACTTTTCAAATTAATTATTTTTTCATTTATCAAGACATTTATATATGGAACTACATTGTCTGCCAGGTCATTATAACAGAATGGGGCATTGCTTGGTATGTAGAAAGAATATGTCAGTTGTTTCTTTTATTGAAGTGAGCATCCCCCTCCCTCCCTCCCACCCTTTTACATAGTGAGGAAGCAAGGTTTTACCCCCTCACTCTACTTCTCCATTCAGTGTAATGTTTGCTCTCTGACATGAGCTTGCTAGACCAAAGCTTTTGTGCTTGTTATTGCATTCAGCTCTCTAGATGAATGTTAATTACAAGCAGCATAAACACAAATTGCATGCTGGCACAGTTTGAAGTATTTCTCACCTGTTCTTTTTACTTTATTATTATTTATTGTAAGCAGGATAGATGACCTAATCAATCTTTATTAGGTTTTGAAACCCAACACATGATCTAAATATTTTGATGAGTAAAGAGTAAATTAGTAAACAAACAAAAAATCCATGTTGTATCATATAATGCGTAATCTATTACTTAATTGAATTTATTGTTAATATCAAGGATATTGGAGATGTAAAAGTTTTCTTGATGTTATTTGTATTACCACAAAAAGTGTACAACAAGTTGGATTATCATTACTGGTATTAGTAGTAATGTCATTATTACTTTCTCAATTATAATTACATTTGGTATTATTATTTTTATCTTGATTATTATTAGTAGTATGTTTGTTTGTACATGGGTGTGTACCCCTTGTACATATACTTAATTGTTTATTATCAATATCATCATTATTATTAATAATATTATTATCATTATCATTGTTATTATTATTATTATTATTGCTTGTACCACTGCCTTATATTCTTCACTCACTCATTGTTTGAGTAAATGTGCTTGCACCAGCCAGAGGTACTGTGCAGTACTTGGTATTACTGACTGACCTCTCCAACCCTTTCCACTTGCACCGTGACATAGACTGACAGAGCCATGGAAAATCTCTTCTAGGTTTAAAGAGAAGTTTGAGGAATTCCACCGGACAGCTGAAGAGGATGTGTCTCTTTTGGAGACCGAGTTTGACATGATGCAGAAGAGGTTCGTGCAGGTGTCAGACCTCTTCACCTTTGAGGTCAACAAGTACTCGCAGGAGGACTTCTTCAGGGACATCAACGAGTTTATTGCTTTATATAAAGTGAGTCCATTGGTGCCTCTTTTCTCTTCTTATTCGTCTTCTTTGTCTTACAACTTTCTCTTACCCTATTTATTATTTGTTTTTAGGTAGCCAAAAGGTGTGGTAAGGTAGTTTGATATTTCTCTGCATTTTTAATATAATAGTTTTCTTTTATTATTATTTATATTCTTTATATATATATATATACATATATATATATATATATATATATATATATATATATATATATATATATATATATACTTTACTGCTATATCTTACAGTATGATTTTTATCAATTGCTAACAGACATGATATTAACCTGTGATAGGGATAGTTACCTTTTTTTTTTTTTTTTTTTTTTTTTTATCCTATCCTGTGTTGGGAGATATTACCTTTCCCTCCTTTTTTGTGTGTGTAGGCTTTGAAGATATATCTTAAAAAGAAAAGCAAAATCACAGCATCAAGCACTCCAGTTGTTACATTGATTTAAAAGAACAATGTGTTATAACTAGAAAATAATTTTTTTATATCCCTTTTATACCTAAAATTTTCTGTTGTACAAGTATATATAGCATGAAAACAGTATATGCTGTACCAATTTTTTTTATTGTTGGATGTGCTCTCAAATAAATGACAACACATAAAAACACAGGATAACTGGTTTTATTATTAAGTGACAATGGGAGTGGTTTGTGTTTAGTTGACAAAATTAGTGATGGCAACAGTTCATTTGTCCATTTCTGAAATAATATGATACATTAATTCGCGGCAATGAGATACAACGTACCATCTAAATTACAAGAGAGGGAGTGGTACTGTAAAGTTATAATGTGGTTACCATATGGAGAGCAAATCAGTAAAGAAGAGTTCAATGATCATCAGTGAATTTTAGAAAAAAAGGAAGATGGTTATTGGTTCCTACTGTGCTGTTTTTTTTGTCAAGCAATTTGGTCATCTCTTTCAATAGGTGAAAATCATAGATCTGGAGTGATTTCATTCACAGCTTGGGCCTATGACTGTCCACTCATTATTGTAACGTCTAATTTTCACTTTATTGCCATGTGGCCTAAAATCCCAGTTTTTTGTAACACTTTATTTTTGCATTTGAGTTTCAGGAGCATCTTGGCCTATTTGCCCCATGATCCTCTTTTTATTTTTGCATTTTGCACTGATACTTAGAGTATGGTTTTTACAAATAATGTGATGGTTTGCAGCATGGGGAGGAAGAGGGATGGATATTATTTTCTTGTATTTTTTGTTTTTGGTTTATGATCCGGATTGTAGTGATTTACATGACTTAGGTATTAGACATTTTGATATTCATCATGATGATTCAGTGTCATATGCAGTGTACTTGCCTGTAGTGCAGGTCTCAATAAAGATATTACAAATGACAGCCCTCGGAAGAGTCACATGGCATTGAAAAATTGTTAAAAATCCCACCGTAATCAACCCCTTCATCTCTGTCAAGTAAATACTTTAATCCTGTTTTGTTTCCCCTTTTCCCTTTCCTCCCCACCTACAATAGCAAGCCAAAGAACAAATTGTCAAGGAGGAGGAGAAGCGACAGAGGGACCGCGAGGCTAAGGAGCGTGCAGAACGAGAGAAGGTGGAGCGTGCAGAGAGGGACAACCGGCAACGGGCCTTACACGATGTCACGAACGACCAGAGTAACACGGAGGTTGTGGATCAGCTGATGCAGCTCATCAACACAGGCCAGGCCTTTGATGTCATGGGAGCAGGACGTAGGAGGCGGCCAGGCAAAACAACAGGTAGAGTGCTCTATAAAGATTTTATCCTCAGAAGGGTATTTTTTTCATTCTTTTTTTTATTTTTTCAATCTTCCTTTTCTACTTCCTTATTTATTCTATTTGTTGGTAAATTGTTTTTAGTGTATTTTACCTTCTTTTTCTGTCTTTCCTTTTGGAATTATATATACATTTTTTATCTTTAGAATAGGCTTTCATCATCTGTTAACTTTGACAGATATGGAAATAGTAATGAACCAGTTAGACCTTATATGTAGAAATATTCCTTTTAGTGAATCCACAAACAGCGTGCCTCTTTCAAAAGCAAGAAGGCAATGTTTTGGTACACAGTTCATAGTCAGTTCAAAATATAGGAAGAATTATTTGATGATTCATGTATGCATACATGTTCATTATTCGTGTAGGTTAAGCTTTAAACATTTTTGAAGAAGTATTGAGGAAATGATGAAGTAATGAAGAATATGCATGCAAATATGATTTATTCAATGTATGTTAATCCTTCTGATATTCTCAATTTCTACAGATAAGAAAGTTTTAAAAAGATTTTAGTGTTCTGTTTTCATTCCATGTTTTTTTTCTGTTGTAGTTCTTGAATATATAACTATTTTCAGTGTGTGGGATAATTGATAATTTGTCTAGCTGTTATTTGATTCCCTAGTTAATTTTATAATGTTTGTGTTGTCATTGTCTATTTCATTTTTTTTTCTTTACCTCATGTGTGCTCTTGTTCACTTTCAACTACAATTTTATTTTGTTTTGTTTTATTTTTATGTATTTTTTTTTCTTACTCTACTCAGTGTATGTTATTCACAGATGTAACTTGGAAGACTCCCAGCTAGTCTGAATCTTGTTTTAAAGAAGATTGTTGATTTAGCATTGTTCTTTATGTAGTGAAACCTCTTTGCAGTGCCTTAGGAACAGCTGTCCTGTTTTTCAAGGGCAGATTCAAATGATTATGTAGGTGTAGATCACAACATACTTATTTCAGGCTCTTTGCTCAATGTATGCACAAGTGAACAAACATATTATCATTCACAACAAAAATAGTTACGTCCTAAACACATTCCATGTTGAAAAATCCTCACTAGCATTTTGGTTTTCTCTCTCTTGAAACATGGAAAAAAACACAGAGTTAGGCTCAGGGTGTCGCAAGTGGGCCAAGGCACTGGTAGAGTTCTGCAGTCGTAAGACGGGAAAAGAACAGAGTAAGAATAAGAAGCAAAAGAATAAGTTTTTTAAGGCAAAGGTAAAAATAGAAATTGATATAAAGGAGAGGTTAAAAAAAGGTCATAAAGAAATAGATAATAATAATGCTTTTTGGAATCATCTTGGTAATATATATATAGTCTTTATATATATATCATTTCATGTAGATGTTTCTACCTGTGCTTGTGCTTTAAAATGGTATTTTAGTGGTCTTCTACTGTGAAATGCCATTGTAAGTTTTTACTTATGTTTAGAATAGCAAAAAGTATCTTCAGTAAGGATGTAATCTATGCACTGTTTTCCTTTTTATAGGATTTGTTCAATATAAAACTTGACAAATGATATGTTAATAAGTTTGAAATACACATTCTTCCAGTGTGTATGTGTATATCTCTTATTCTAACATCATGTGCCATTATTCATGAATTCTCAGCAGTTTAATAGCCTAGAAATTCTTTGTACTAAAGGAGCAGTTACCCCTAAATGCAGTCAGTGATTTGTGTATCTTAGCATCTATTTCTTGGAGTAAGAAGCATTAGTATTGAGAACAAAGTTTAAATATATAAACAAGTAAAAGATGTATCACTAAAGTGCATCATGTAAAAACTGTGAATTAATAGAAATAAATGTCAGTGGAGCTGCTTAGTGCTTTGTCTATTATTGATAATAGGGAAAATTTATATATATGTGGGTGCATGCATATGTGAGTGAAACATAGGCTTTGATTAATGAGATAAAATGAAGATTGCTTAGGCATAGGAGAAATTTGATATTTTAAGAGGATGAAGCATGTACATTGTGTTCTTAGAAATTAGAGATGCTTTGCATCTACTCATGACAAAAGGGATATGCTTTTCAGAATGACTTGGACTTTATATATAGAAGTGGGTTAGACTTACAGATGACCAGAATACAACCTTGACACATGAACTTTCCCTGAAAAAGGAATGCCAATTCTGATTCACATAAGCCATTTACTAGGCAGCATGTTAGGAAAATCAAAAGTTAGATCTAAAAGAAGGCATATTGGTCACATGGCCCAAAGATGAAGTAAATGCTTTAAAGAAATGGCGCTGAAAGAGGTTTTACTGCTAAACTCATCTTCATACATAATAAAAAAGACAATATAAATACAGCTTCAGTATCAACATGCTTGAAACAAACATTCAGGCTGTGTATGGAAACCAAAAAAAAAAAATATAAATGCGGGCTTGTGCTTTGACTACTACTATAATTTTTTTTTTTTTGGTTTGTTTGCTCACTCATTCCTGTGACATTTCACACCTGACAGGGAGGAGCCAGCTTGTCCATTGTGGGTAAGACAAGACCCCATGAATTGTGTGTCACTGCCTGCTTGTAGAGTTTGACCCTCTTCTCCCCCTTCCCCTTCATTTCTCCCCTCCCATTCCCCCCTTTCTTCTTATGTGCACCTGTCACCGTGTGTTAATATGCTTCTGTGGTTTCAGTTTGTGCAGTATTTCGATTTTTTATATATTTTTTTTAAGGGGGGAGGAAGTGGAGGATGTGGAATTGATAACAGGTACATGCACTGTCCAATGCTTTGTATTGTGTATTTATCTATTATTACAAATATAGTTGATGTCAAATTAACGAGTGATTGAGTCCTTGGTGATTAAGTGTTTCTTCAGTCATATATTTGTAAAGGGGTGGGTGTTGTTGTTCCTGTGTCTGTGAATGCATAGGTAAATGCACATCCACATGCGCGTTTGTACTTATACACGTGCATGTATACATACTTGCAGGATATGTGTACACTGTGTAGTGAGTACTGACTCTTTTTTATTTTTAAATATGAATAAGATATTACCAGTTCAGTCTATCCAGTCGTGAAGTGTTGTGCCATGTTCACCACTGTGTCAAGTGAGTTCCACATTCTCCATTAATGGTAACTGTTCTACTGTATTAATTGATGAAGCTTGCTTGCTTTTACACACCCAAGCACTGCCACTTGCATCCCCGGGAAGGTGTTGGAAAAAAGGTTTTATTTATTCATATGTAATATTCTTTAAGTTATTAAGAGATTCTCTGTTTTGTTTAATTATCCATTTATTTGTTTATCTATGACTTATTGTTTCATTTTTATTTTGCTTTATTCAGCCATATGTATGGTATTACCAAGAACGAGACTGTCATTCAAATAAGAGTCCTTCGTGAGTCTTTGCTATCAAATTTTCGGCCTAATATATATGTGTGTGTGTGTGTGTGTGTATAAATGAATATTTATACATACATACATACATATACATACATACATACATACATACATACATACATGCATGCATATTATATATCTATCTATCTATCTATCTATATCTATATCTATCTCTAATATATATATATATATATATATATATATATATATATATATATATATATATATATATATATATATATATATATATATATATATATATATATATATATATATATATATATACTATATATATATGTATATGTATGTATGTATGTTGTATATAATTTTTTCTTTCTTTCTTTCTTTTTCTTTCTTTTTCTTTTTTTTTTCTTTTTTCTTGATTTACTTTTTACATTTCATGGAAGTATGTATATGTTTGTGTGTGTGTGTGTGACTTTCTTTTCTAATTTTCAATCTTTCCTCTTTGTCCTTCTCCCTCCACACCTTCTTCTTCTTCTTCGTCTTTTGCTTCTGCTTCTTTCCTTCCTCATATTTTTTCCTTCCCCTCTTCTTACTACTGCTACTTATTCTTCTTCAACATTACCTTATTTTGCCTGATGCCTCAGCTTTGTACATACACAATGAATGCAGAAGCAGTTTTTTGAATTGGTGAACATTCCAAAAATAGACCATTGATATATAAATTTAGTTTGTTAGAATATATTGGTTTTCATAGTTTCATTGTTTCTTAGATTATAATTATTATCTTATTGGTCTTTCTTCAGTTTGTTTGTTTTACTTGACACATTCATTCATCATAGAAGTGGCAAAAGTTTTTTCGTTATTTGCACTCCCGTTTTAACAAAAATTAAAATCATTAAACGCGAATGGCCTATGAGATTCATAAGAGAAAATTTTAAGTACAGAAGTTTGATGGCCTTTTTGTGAATTAATCACTTGTCTGTTTTTATTTTTTTTATAAAGATAGTAATGAAATTAAAGAAACGGATAGATGAGCCTGAATTCATATGCAAATGAATTATAGAAAAAAAACTACTTATGTTAACAAAGTAATGAGTCTCTTTTTATGCTTAGCATACTGGTATATTATTCTTTTAAAAGAAGAGGATATATTTATTGTCAAAAATTGGAATGTTTTGCTGACTAACAATTTCAATAATCATTAACAAGAACAAAATTGTGTGGATGTTTAACATAAGACAATTGCTTTAGCTCGCTCTCTCTTTTTCTTTCATTTTTTTTTCTCCGTCTTTTATCATTTTTTTTCAATATAAAAAAGAATCTTCTTTCACTGTAGTTCTTGTATTACCTTCCTTCCATTTATTGATTTGTGTATTTATTGTTTGTTTCCAGTCTTGTAAGTTCCATTTTCAAAATAGAAAGGAGACTGGCATGATAATTTTTTGGTATTTTAGTAATTTAATTGTTTTCAATTTTGGGTTTTTTCTCCTTCCTCATCTTTTTTTCTCTCTTTTTTTTTCTTTCTTTCTTTTTTTGTGTGTTCATCATTTCAGGATTACAGGACTTATTGTCTGATAGTGATATGTTTCACATCACTTTCTCTCACTATCTTTTTCATTTCTTTGATATATCATATGTGCGTATCCCAGCAGTTTAGTCAGACAACACTTATTACAGGAAAATGTTAGGATTTCTTGCCATAGTGTGCAGTTTCAGGAAGGTGATGCAACCTACTGTGACTGAGACAACCAGTCATGAGAACAAATTCATTTTTAACCATTTTTAACCATTAAATGAAGGTTGGAATTTTACAGTTCTGAGAGGGTCATATGCCATATAGGGGTTGATTACCCAATTATCATAAATTTTTTCTTTTCTTTTCTTTTTCCTTTCTATTTCTTATTCTCTTTCTTTTTCAACTGAAAAGGGAATACAGAGAAATTGACCGTAATGATTGACTGTCATATCTAAGTGATGGTCTTTATAGTTGTTTTATTATTTACTTACTTATATGTTTATTTATATATTTTTAGCATGTAATTGAGTGTTTCAATAACCCACATGCTTGTTCACTCTCTTTTTGTTTTTAAATTGGAGCACCATTGCACTTTAGATAGATGGTGTCACCTTTTGTTATTTAAATTTTTTGTTATTATTATTGTTGTTGTTTTTATTACTAATATTATTATTATCATTATTATTATTGTTATTATGACCATCATCATTATTATGATTATTATCATTTTTGTTATTATGGTAATCATTGTTGGTATTAATATTTATTACTATTAATGTTGTTATTATTTTTGTTATTATCATTATTATTTATGACTATTAGTATAATGTGATTATTGTTATGTTTTCATGAATTTCTTTCATGTCTTCTCAGATAACCAATAAATTAAAGATTAATGTCTGTAAATAAAAAATATATATTTTGAGTGCACTAACATAAATTTTGTCAACATGGTTGTCTTGGATGTATAACATAACATTAAATTACCTTTTTTATGTATTGTGATATTGATGTTAATAGTAATGATGGTCTTAGATGTGCTTGAATGAAGAAGAATAGATATTGGTGGAATCATGATAAAAAAGCCTGTGATGATTCATGTTTTTATTATTCATAATAGTGATAAAATTGCAATATTTGGATGATCATTACTGTTAACATTTTAACCTTTTCATTTTCCCTGTAATTCCCGTAAGTCATTGTACAGTGCATTTATGATAGATGCTACATTTAGATTGGAATTCCTTATCAGAAAATATATATCATGATATATATATATTTATATATAAGCTATTCTATTTGAAAAGAAAAAAATATTTATTATCACATGTACCCAATACCTACTGTACCTCTTTTTCACACCTTTCATTACTTGACAGCCGAGAGAAGGGCCCAGCTGAATCGGAGCCGGTCGCGTTCCGGTTTGGCCGCACAGTCGCCAACTAGCAACAGAGAAATTAAACTGTGAGTAGCATGCATGAGTGGCGATGGTAACTAGTTGTATGACGTGTGTGAGTGTGGGTGGATGGTGGATGGTTTTGCTGTATGAATTGTCGGTGTTTGTGTGAGATTGGTCAACAGTGGGTGGGGGTGGTGCTTCAGTGTAGGGTGTGTTTGTGAGTGTGGGTGGTGCTTCACTCTAGGGTGTGTTTGTGGGTGGACTGGTCATTGGCTGGACAGTGAGGGTGGTGCTAATATAGATTAGGAGAGAGGTTGGAATAGAAAGAAGAGAAGTGAATAGTTGAATGTCTTGTATGATTTTATGGTTTCTGTTTTTAATTATTTCTTTGTTCATATTTTAAGTAATGTAGATATCTTGATTATTGATTTTATGATATTGATTGCAAGATAGTTGCATTCAATATCACTTTTGATATTATTATCAGCATCCTTATCATCATCACTGCAGGACGGACACCATTGATGTGGATGTAGAAAACCAGCCAGCGCGGTCATCTCGGCCTCGCACTCGGCGGCCAGGACTTCCGACAGGCCTGGAGTCACGCGATAGGAGTTTCAACCAACAACAGAATACCGTCAATGGGGATTCCTCCGATGCCTTGCTGCAGAGACTCCGGGAATTGTAAAGAGACAAGAGAAAGAGGAAGAAGAGTCTTGCAGGAGACACTGAGTGTCTCAGCATTTATATCTGTTGATATTATTCATAATGATCACCATTTATTATTATTATTATTATTACTATTATTATTATTATTGGTATTCTAAAAATGCCTATTGATATCGATATTATTATTATTGGTAATACTGCTGATATTTATTCTAATTATCAGTATCATCATCTTTTTTTTTCTTAAGCTCATTACCATGATATTCTTTTTTCCCTTTAGTATAGATTAGAGAAAATTATATATTTTAAAGATATTGATATTTGTACAGTTAGTTCAGTGGGAAATACTGCCAGTAAAAAAAATTATAGATCTATTTAATAGAGAGAATTACTGGACTTTCAGTGAATGCATTAAAGTAGATAGAGGGTTTTATTGATAGTTTAGGGTTTACTTTGTTAAGTTCAGGAATACCTATATGGATCAGTGGCATGTTTGATATTTTTATTATTGGTGTTTTTGCTATTCATCATTGTTATTGATATGATAATTATTATTGTTAATGATTTTATTTTTATATTATTTTATTTATTTATATTTTTTTTATTATAATTATTATTTTTATTATTATAATGTATACTTATATACATATACACATGCATACATAAAAAACATGTCATCTTCCATTCATATCACACTTTTTTAAGTAGAATGCCAAAATCATCAACAGATAACAAGGAAAAGAAATGGAGCAAAAAATGAAGGGTTGTTATTCTTACGTATAACCAACAGGGGTTCCAATTTTATGGAATGACCCCACTCTGTCCCAGGTGAACTTGGTGCCCATTGATTTATTAATGTTATTTGCTGTATTTCTCCATAACTTCTTTTTTCTTCTTTATCGTCTTCTTCCTCTTGTACTGTGTGTTTTCTTTTCCTTAGATGTGACAGGCTCTTTCTGTGCAAACATGTGAAGAGTGAATCTTTTTAATACACCCTGTGGGCGTACGCTATAATTCTTAATTTCTGAAGTAGTGTTATAACATGATAATTTTTTTTTTAGGTATCGACTAGTTGCAAATACCCTTGTGCATTAGCTGTGCATGTGCTTGTCTGTCTAAGTATACACACATGCACACATCCTTGTACATTGTGATGCAACGTATCTCTTGTGATACTACCATTATTTTACCTCTGTTTTCTTTTTTTCTTTTTTCCTTTTCTCTCTTAATCATTCTTCTCTTTTTGTTGTGTTAATAGAGAAGGTTCCTTTACTGTTCCATGCTTTCTGTTTGTGTAGAGGAACCTCAAAGGCTTTTGTATCTCTCTTATTTAGTAATTTTCCCCCCTTTCTCTCTCTCAACTAACGTATGTTGTAAGAGTTTGTCGTGATGTTGCACTACGGAATGAAATAATGAAAACAATTTGTGATACCGTTGAAGCTGCAATATTCAGGCCTTTGTACTGATGCATTAAGCTTGTGCCTTGATTTGTTTCTGTGTCTGTCTTGCGTCCGAAGATTTTTTACATTTAATTTTTATTTTTTATTTGATAACTTTGTGAATTGTACATAAATCATTGCATTCCTCTTGTACCTGTGAGATGTCAAAAAAGAAAGAAAGAAAAATAATGCATTACATCATATGGTTAAAAGTTCCATGGATTTGTCAGTGAGACTGACTTTTTTTTTTTTCAAGAGGCAATCACTTTGAAAATTTTCTTCTCCCTTTAAAGAAATTTTAAGACTAAATTACTTTTGGTATTGATGTAGCCTTCTATTATTTTTTTTCTTCCTTCATGATTCCTTTATTATCATGATTATCTCTTTCTTGTCTATATATGTACATATATATGTGTCTGGAGTTGAAAAATCCAGCGAAATTTCTTCTTCCCAGGCATTTGTATTTCAAATTGATTCCATTTTACATTTGACCCGAATTACCTCCCCACCCTCCACTCTCATGTGATTTATTAGAATATACTGGCCACATGTGTTCAAAATATCATTGCGAACTAAGGTTTCATAACTCCATAACACAGAATATATGTATGAGTTTGTTCAGAGGATATCCATTGTGTTGGATACAGTTCAATTTTCATTGCTAGAAAAAGAACGAGAAGAGCTAAAAAAAAAAAAATGGTATAATCTCCAGTACAGAGATTTTTAAGATGTCTGTAACTTTGCAAGGTGTAAATAACATTGTCTCCGTGAATTTTCAAAGTGGTGTTGTGCTTATTTGTAAGCACGTTTCATGTAAATGGTCTTCCATTATATATTTATCCAAATGGGATTTTTGAGTTTTATCTTTAGAGAGAGAGAGAGAGAAAAAGAATAAATTGTCATTTAATTTCCTTGCTTTTAACAAGGACTCTCATAGAGACTGTTTCACTTGGTACATGCATTTGCAGTTTTCAGCACCTGCATTTGGATTGCTGTATGTTATTAATTTCCACCTCTTACCTCTTTGGTTTTTGTAGATGGGAAAATTCTCCATTCCAGATATTTTCATGTGTTAATGATATTAATGTGTACACAGTTTTAGGGGAGGTCAAAAAATTAAGGAGGTATGAGATTATTATTATTATTAGTTCCTCTTCCCCTTTTTTTTTTTGTATGCTATATATGTCATCTGCATTGAAATTTTGATAATTTGTAGTCATCATATGGAGCAGAAGTGGAGTTGTCCGTACTTCTTTTCAAAGAGAGAGACAGCATTGGTCATTGATGTGGTGCACAGACAATATTCTTTTAGAAATATGCCTCTTACAAACACGCCTGTTCATGGGTAAGAAGAGTAAACTTTTTTTCTTAGTGAAATCATGAACTTACAGCACAGGGATTGTTTTCTTGTTTTATCTTTTACTTTAATAAAAGAGGCTTTGAAATAAGCGATAAATTGAAACAACGAATCTTGAACAACTGCAGCTAGTCTGTTATTTGCAGTTATGCCAATATGATTGTGATTGAAAGGTCCAAAACATCTGGATTCTTTAAAGTAATTGAAGATGTGCCATCAAGTGTTCAGCAGTTTTAACAAAGCATTTAATACTAACAAGATATAAGTTCTTTTGTATCTTTCATTTCCATGGATTATTTATATGTAAATAACATGTCAGAATATTAAGCCAAGGTCCTCGTTGAAGTACATTGAAAAATCTCCATGGAGAGGTTAAAAATAGCCTCTTATTGTAATGAAAACTTGTGTAGTGCCTAAGTTTTGTCTCATGTAGATCTGTATCACCTTACTTTCCCTGTGTTAACCATTGCTGTGGTACCATGGTGATTTAGTTTGACTTGCTTCATTATTCTTTTAACTCCCTTCCTTTCTTCTGTTTAAAGTGCCATTAAACAGCTCTCTGTATATAAGTTTTGGTATGTATTTATATTTATATATGTAAAGAGAGTTCTTTTGGAATGCCCTATATTGTTTGATGATAACACATTTTTTAAATATTTTTTTCCCCCTTCAAATCACACGTAGGTGCCAGTTTATCAAAGATATTTCCTCTTGATACATGCGTAAATCATGGTGGAAGCAACCACAGCTTGGCAATCATAGTAATATATACTACTCTGCTCATCCATAGTGTATAGCCTTCATGGAAGTATGAGTTGCTGTAGCAGTAATATTCTGTTCTCATTTCTGTAGCTGCCAGTATGCACCTTCCTTTTGAGTGATTATGTAGATATATCAGCATGACGGAGAAATGTAGAATTCTTTTCATTTAACCCGAGATTCTGATAAAAAAAACAATACGACTTGTTTTGTTTTTCTCTCAGCCTGTTTTCAGTGTGTATTTAAAGAAGAAAGCAAGCACCCAAAGCAGTCTTTTGTTTTTATTTTGTATTCTTTTGGGCAATTTTAATTTTTTCCCATACGTTGATTTTACAATGATTGAGAATTAAAGTTTTTTTGTTTTTTTTTTTGCAAATTCAAAATTCAGCCTTATTATCACATTTAATTCATCCTTATTTCAGCCTTGTAAAGTGGTTTTTTTTTTTTTTTTTTTTTTTTTTTTTTTTTTTTTTTGCAAGTTCAAAATTCAGCCTTATTATCACATTTAATTCAGCCTTATTTGAGTGTTTTATTATATTTAGTGCTCACAGATATGTTGCATCTTACCAGCTTCATCCTATATGGAAACTTTGTAATCTGATTTTTACCAATTAGGATTTGTTTGTTTTTTCTTTCTTTTTCTTCTCGTCATTATTGTTATTATAATTCATTATCAATTAATAATTTACTATTGATTAATTGCTATTGATGTGTGACATGATTTTAGTTCTTTGTTACTGTGATATTATGTAAGGTGCAACCGAGGTTTCATGGATAAGAGTTTTTCATGTTTTAAGTAAAAGAGGGTGCTTTAAATTATATTGCTTATGATAAAACTATTTTATTGTGCTGCCTTTTTTATTATTACTATTGTTCCCTTTTTTTATATTCTTGTCTATTTTTTTAACAAGTTTTCTTTGTGTATGAAAAAAATACTTTAACATTAAAGAAAATGATAGAAAAGAAAGTTAGATATTTTTTTATGAAAATTTACTTGGATATGAAGCATTATGAGAAAGTATATTTATATTTCAAATGAAGTATATTATAAAATGTTCAAACTATTACGCACATGTTTAAGAACACATACACACCTCCGCATCTTTCTTTAGTATATAGACGTGGTTTTAAAATTGTTTTAATGGTGCTTGTATGAATGAACATTTAGAATAGAAAAAAAATTATATTAACTAATAATTCTTGTGGTGTAGATTTGTTTTTTTTGTAGATTAATTTTGAGGTTAATCTTTACTAAATATGAGAGGTTAATTTTGAATTTACTAAATATAAAGAAAAGAAAAAAAAAAAGAATTTTGAACTTTAGAAAATCAAGTAAGATATCTTAGCTGAGATTTCCAAAGATCTTGAATAGTTTGGGGAAATTTTGTTTGAGAAGTGTGCTCTGTGTTTTCTTGTTCTTTGCATGATATCACCCAGCTTTTATTTGAACACTGAATAAAACCTTGTGAATTTCCATACAAAAAGTAGTTCTGTCTGACTGAAGGCAAATTGTGCTTGGCATTAGAATGTTTTATTTGCAGCTTTATTTTTTTGTTTTTGTTTTGTTTTTCAGTCTTTTTTTTTTTGTGGGGGGAGGAGTAAAGTTGCTTCTATGCATGTTTAGATGTGAACTCTGCATGTGTGTATAGGTTTGAGTGTATACATGCATGGAGATGTAAGTTCACTGTTAATATGCATGTGCATGTAACTTCTATATTTTAGGAGTAGGCACACTGTAATGAACAGGGATCAGGTGTCTTTCTGATTCATACAATATATAATTTTCTTGAATTCAGGTTACATTTTCATTCCAAGGAAATGTGTGTTTTGTTTGATTATTTTCCTTCTTTTTTTCTGTTTTACTCTGACATTGATTATTTTCTCTCTACATCTCCCTCCTCCTCCTCCCCCTTTCCCTCCCTCTATATCAGAACAATCATTGAAGAATTTTTCCAGGCTTCATCTTTTCTTTTTTTATGCACCAATATTTATCTTCAATTACACATCTCACTTCGCATGCTTTCTCTATCAATGCTCTTTGTTATAACAAGAAACAAAATTCCAACAAAGTGATTTCCATCTTGCACAAGAAAGTACAAGGGGCCAATTGGATACGATATAAACTGTTGTACATAATAGTGGAAAGTTTATTTTTATTACATACAGCCCATTAAACTGCGCAATAATAATGATAGAAAAAAAATCTACCGGCTATTATCTTTTTAAACGAAGGCAGAACCTTTTGTACATATTTTTATAGAGTACTTTTGTAAAGAGGAAAAATCCATCATAATGTTACCATTATTAACCATGTAATAAACTATGGCTTAGTTCTTTGTGTTTGTTTCTATGTCCTTTATGAAATAAGCAAGGGATATCTTATGTTCTATTTAAGAAAGTTTCAATCAAAAGCGTAATAACAAATGTAATTCTTATTTTTCTTGTATTTTTCTTTTTTGTATGTGTTTTTCATCTATTTTATTTTACTAATTGTTCTTTGGATATAAAATGTTAGAAAGGTATGAATTTCTCCACATATTTCTGACAAAGATATAATCAAAACCAGTCCGGTACATCTACATTGTGAAGCTATTAAATCTCATTCACACCTATTCTACAATGAATATAGTTCAAATAAAATGTTAAAATCTATACATTTCATTATTGCATTTTTCTTGATTTTAATACTAATTGTGGAGGCATACGACCAATGGATTGTTAAAAGCATGGTATCTATTTTCTCAATTTAGCTGTAGACCAGATTGAGAAACAAAGATTCAATTTAACACTTCGACACTAGGTTCATCCATGGATCCTAGGCTAAGCTTACCCTGTTCACTCCAACCCATTTCCAGTGTCTATAAAACTGCCAGCTGCACACAAACTTCTCACAAACCACTGCTTCCATTTGGTGTTTTCAATCATGCCAGCAGACATATCAAAATATGTGCAGTTATGCCCCAGCATTTGTTGACCACCTGTCCAGACATCTATCCAGGCTACAAGGGAAGGGATAAGTCAAGCAAAGCCTTGTACTGGGGAGTTGTAAACTAGTAGGTAATTCTTAAGCTCTGCTAAAAGAATCAAAGCATTTTTTTATAAACTTTATTTATTATAAAGTTAACAATTTTTTATCTATAAAGATATATATAAGGAATAGTATGGCACATTTGACAATATATGGAGTAAAATAATAGGAAAAATTAGATATGAAGACTTATCATGTATCCTTCATTCACAAGTTTGTGTCAAAGAAGAAGAAATTCAGAACAATGCAATCAAATCTACTCCTATAAGTATTTAACAAAATGCACATGCAATATATCAGCAATTAATAACTTCAGTGGTTTCAGATGAATAAAGGCAATGTCAGCGAAGTTTTATTTTTCATATCTATGTGGACATCAAAGCATTAGAAGAATAATGTGGCTGCAATCAAAAATATGTAATATTCACTGCAAATGTTTAACTTGAATAAAGGGAGAGACTCATTTAAACATTAGGCAACAAATACAAGTCCTTCTGGACTCTTCCATACTAATGGAAACTAGTATCTGCCAGACTATAACACAATGCTGAAAGGGTATGAATAAGAATGAATATCTTCACAATGCACGAGATGTCTTTGAAAGGTTTTGATTAAATCCGAGTCAAAAATACATGATATAACTGAAACCAGTCAGATGCATCACTGAAGAATTTTATCCTCATTCATACCTTTTCTTTTATATTTGCCATAATGAACATTGTTCACATAATACTGATTCTGTAGGGAATGGAAAACAAAACCAATTTGAGTATTGGTAGCTGTATGCTCTTGCTTTATGTAGCTAACATAAATTTTATATTCTAAAATAGTGTAAATAATATCATCCCCATACTTAATATTGTAAAAACTGACAATGACTAACTGATTTTATCAGTTACAATACTGGAAGTTGTATCAGGATGAAAGGCTTCAATTTAGCTAAATATTTTCTATGAATGAAAATGGAATGATATCAACTTAAAAAGCCTCTTTCATACCACTACTAACAACAAATTCATCTTAAATCTTAATAACAATAAAAAAAAGTATTTACAATTGTGGCAGTTGTTAGCTAACTTTATGATTGTCAGTTCTAGAAACTTTTGACATATTTATCCATTTCTATTTTGTTCCTTTCTTCTCATTTGTAGGTCACTTTTTATCTCTCATTTAAGAATTCTAATATACATTTCAAGAAGATTGTAAATAATATATATAACTGCAGATTCTAAACTACACTACTATGAAGATAAAGGGGAATAAAAAACAATCAGAACCCTCGTAAAACTAAGCTGAGATAGTACCTTCTATACAAAGCTATGATTACATTCAATTGAAAAGTGGAAGATATTGAGGAAATAAATTGCATTTCCTCATGTGGTGCATAAGTATGGATGCTTAAAAAAAGACTATAAATAAGATATATTATAAATTTGCTAATATATTTAATGGAAGAAGCATATATCTGCCAAAGCTCAAGCTTAGAAGAGGTAATGATAAAATATAAATGAACTGAAAGCAATATTTTTGATCATAAGAAATGCTCCTTTAATCAACTTCTTCAAATATGTTTTTTTCTTTTAAAGTTTATATTATTCACTGTCTACATATACATTTCTAAAGCATTATTTCAATAAGCTCTCTTTAGCAATAAAAAGCAAAGATCATTGTATTTCTCAGGTTTTCTGATACTTATCACCATTTTTTGGCACTTAAGCTTTGCCTTCTTGAAAGACGCACTATCATTTTTTAAATTTAAATATAAAAATCTTGAGCACTTTCTTCAACCATTCATAAAAGGCAAATCTGGACCAACAACTTCAACCAACATATTTTATATGAATATCTTGTATGGACCATTAACCCAGTGCCATCAGGCAAATGTAGTCTTCACCATAATTTTGTTTTGTAAAATGTCTCTACACACAGTACTTAGCCACCAAGTAGTCAATTAGTTGACCTTGTAACCACACCTGATTTGACCTTTCCTTGAGTTTTCTATTATCTATTATTTTATCATCATTATTATAGACATTTTAATTATTATTATGTTACTGACACTACTAACAGCAATATAAGGTAAAGGAAAATATTTCCAAAAATAAAAGAAAAGGGTAAACAGTTGAGACAGGTAGTACTAGTAATTGACTAATTGGTGACTGAGCACTGGTGGAGTCATCCATGTGTAAAGAAAGCCAACAGACTAAACACACAGTGGACATGGCATGTACGTACATGACATCCCCAACGGCATCAGGTTAATAGAAAGGCAGACAATCATTATAAAAATCCTTCTCTTCAGATCACTACTTTACCAACGTAGAACCAGTTGTTGTCCAAGAAAATTTCACCTAAAATCTTGACCTTAATCAAGTTTGTTTTTTGTCGCAGTAATTGATCAACTGCTCGGCAATGATGAGGTCAAGAGGTGTGTCTATGTCCATGCTATTCTCTGGCGGTATTTCTACGTATCCACATCTGGAAAGGAAAGAAAAATATAACTATTACATGACAATGTTATCATTAATATTGATAGTACAGATATATAACATAAATCAATAATGTATCTTTTGCTGTGAAATAAATTAATGAGTCGAATGAAGTTACAAAATAAGCATATGATATACATAGTGATTCAAAAGTAAGATAATGATGAAATATGAGACTATATTCCAACATTACAATGGAAAAATATGAAAGAAAGGACAGAGAAAAACAGATGAAAGAAAGAAAGTAAAGAAAAAAAGATAATACAGAAAGAAAATACTCAAATAAAAAGATAAGTTACCACAAAAGAAATACTGATAGAAAACCAAAAGTGAAAGACTGAAGTACAGAAAATAAAATAAAATATCAAATATAAAATACACATATGCAAATAAATGAAAAAAGAAACAACTGGAGGAGAAATAGAAGCAAATAAAAAAGACAGAAATATATATAAGGAAATGACAGTTAGTAACATATAAATACACAAAAACAGAAAAACAGAAACAACAGAAAAAAAAAAATCATAGAAATGAGGCAAACTAAAGCAGGAGAGAAAACATAAACCTGAGAGTACCCACCGTCCCCCTTGCAGAAGCCCTTGTTTCAGGAGACCGACTCGAGTATAATAAAACATCCCATTCTCATACAGTTCTCCGGGCCACTTCTGCCGACTGGGACGCTGATGAGGATCAAAGTTTTGTGGGAATGTCTCCTCACCTGGAAGTGCGATGATAAAGGATGTAAAGAATTAGTGAGGCATAAGAAGCAACTTACAAAAAGTCTAGTTGGAGATAGTAAGCTGGCTCTATTGTATATGTGAGTTCATTTTAAGATTAGGAGAATATATCAGAAAGTTGTGAGTCTCTATTATTATATACTTTAGTGATCTGAAGATGTCAAGATGCAGCTTTGATATTTTTGTAGTTATGAATGCACTCATACACACAATCACCCATTCACTCATAGAAACCCTGTCATAAAAATACCAATTCACACACAAACTTGCTTTCACACTCACACTTTTCCACTCCCTTATGCACTTTCACTCACGCTCACTGATTTAGATACTCTCACTCACGATCTCTGATTCAGACATTGACTCGCATATCCTCACTCATACACCCTATTTAACACACTCTTTCTCATACTCATACTCTCATTCTCACTCTCACCCACACTCACAATCATGGTCACATTCACATTTACTCTCTTACTCATATTCACCTCCTCATTCACACTCAGACTCAAACTTCTAACTCACAACTCATTACCTTCAGCCCATCTGAGATAATGTTTTCTTGTAACTGAGAACACGGAGTCATAACCATTCCTAATTTTCTGTAGACCCCACTGTATGTAGCATGGTTTCATAAAGGGTGATGTGCACTGTACAAGGCAAACCACCTCAGTGTCTGAAATTGAGTTTCACACTTTATTATATAGACTGACTAATTATTGGCATTAGTTTTATTGATATTCATTGGACATGAGTAGTACATGAATTCTACCACATGGCACTTTTTCTCTAGAAGTAGGTCAAAACTTTACATGATAAAACGTAATGAATTATCTATATTAATGACCTCAAAACCATTACATTTTCTAACTCACCTGGATGGTACTGCACAAACTCCTGCACAGCCACCAGTGAGGGAGCATCATCGGTTGCTGTGAATCCTGCTCTCCAGTGCACATTTGCTCCCCCTTCACGTGCACACTCGGCTATCTTTTCACTGTCAGTGCTTACCCATATGCTGCTGAAACCTGTATAGTACTTGAATTAATACTAAATACTTATAGGTATAAACAAAGAGGTATAAACAGATAAGGAACTCTGAAGGTAAAAATTATTTGTGTCTTATGAATCTTTTTTTTTCTTCGGATAACAATGGCGAAAAGAATAAAGTACAGAGTTATAAAACTATCAATAATACTGAATGCTAGTAAAATGGCAGAAAAAACACTAATCACTAAATACATTTATTAAAAGATGTGACACATAGGAAATATTTACGAGAAAGATGAGATTCAGTGTCCTAGATTTAAACTTAGGCCTACTGATATGCAAAACTACTGCCTCTTTTTTTAATAAACCTATTTTGTGTAAAGTTATTTTTCTTGCCATTATTGAACATGGAAGATATTTTGTTCCATATAACATGAAGAAATATAACAAGGATTTCAGTAATATCAACAGATTTGATATTGTAATCACCAATAACTTTTATATAATCAACAATAAATTTTGTATAATCATCAATAATAAATTTTGTATAACTATCAACAATAAATTTTGTATAATTATCACTAATAGATTTTGTAACATTATCAATCGTATGTTTGAACATCCAATAACTGATTTGGAAAACTTTACTTTCACTTTGGAATAATACAACTTTTGCTTCTTGGTATTCATTTCTTATTAGGAACAGCTAAACAGGAGCAGCAACCTGTACCGAAAGAAAGAGAGAGAAAAAAGGCTATTAACAAGTGAACTACAAAAAAAAAATAGAATGTACAACTAATTAACATCAAACTTTCAAACAAATAATGAGCCACAAGAAATTATAAAGTATTTAAATAAATTAGAATGGTCATCGTAAAAACAAAATAAGGCTTCATGAAAAATTATAATGAATAAATAATAATAACAACATGCATATTACTCACAATTTTACAGAAATTCATACGAGGATATTCATGCATGTATGTATAGAAATTGATAAATGGATAGTTACTTTGATGCATATACATGTGTGGGCTTATATATAACAATATTCTTATAATCAGCCCAAAAAATTATTATCTACAAAATAATTGTAGCACCATATAGATCTGTAAATTAAAATATGATAATACCTACAAGATATTTTTTTTTTTTAATAAAACACATAAATATAAAAATAAAAAAGTTACCTACAGAACATGCACACTTCATTGCCTCTACAGTACACAGTCATTATCGGGTCAAAATATTTTCGCCTTACCATCCATTACTCACATTTAGCTTCGTGCATTACGCCCAGCGTCCGCAACAAGAGAGGCTGATTATCTAGGAGGGCAAGATTCTTATTCTTGATTCCTTTGCTGCCTCCTCTGGCCAAGACTAAGCCTGTGATGTGCATTTTCAAATCTGAAAAATTGTGGTTGTAAGGTCTGCCTATTGGTTGTTGTTTTGATTCTAGAATTTGGATTTAAGATTCTTAAAAATGTATCGTTATTATGGGTTCTATAATTATCATTTCTTATATGCCTCTCTACTGACTCAAATTACTCCAAACTGACATTTTCAGACACATATCTAAACACAATACTTCTCTAAACAGCCCTACATATATCTCCTCATACATCCTCCTAAATAAAAATACAAGCTCATACTTTTGTACTGACAAGTACTTGTCAATCCTCTAGGAAAAGAGGTTACAGATATACCTGTTACTCTATTTTAAATCAAGGGACCTGTCTATGGTTGTAAGTGTTATATGACATGCCACAGCAAGTTTAAATTACTTTTAGATATAATTATACGATAAAAAAAATCCGTTTTGAAAAATATGTTCACTGTTCTTCTAAATATCTAGCAACATTTCCTCATTAGTACGTATGCACTTTTATTCCCTGACATTTAAATCATAAGCATCAGACCTTTTTCCTCATCATGCACCCATACATGCCTTTTCCTTAGCTTCACGTTTATTCCTTGAACATTCTCACAGCCCGTCTGTCTACAAGTATAAACTTTGCGTCGTCTGCAGCTCGGGGGATACGACCTTTTTTATTTATTACTTTAGACATTCATGTATGTTCTTGTTGACGGACTCACACTTACATGTAAGTACAAATA